AGGGTCGCTTTCGCTTTCTTACTTTGGCGGCTTCATAGCCCGCTCTTATACATTCTGGGAGTCTAATTGGACTCCTGCGCTTCGTAATGTACGCGTGTTAGACATACTCATGTATTCGTATGTAATTCAATAGATACGGTGTGTTCAAAAAAGTGTAAAGTATATAGCTTATGTAAAGCTATGCTACGACGCGACTAGACCGAAACAGAACAGAACCGAGTGTTATTGAGCTAAAAGACGACATACATGATTGTCTGTACGGTGCTTATATCTTAGCGGTCCGGATTATAGTTAAAGGGGCGCCATATGGTACTGGGCGCCCGCTTTGTCATAAGTGTTGCCCGCGTCCAATAGGACGCGGTGGTAAGTGATTGCATCAAGCCGCTTTGAGCGGCTGACTAATTACTTAAGGGTAAGTCTATTCTACCCTTACAGGTGGTGTGTGTAGGCTCGCGTGTCCTCCGTCGTATGTCTTCTTCATCTCCCTGCGGCGTGCGCATTAAAAACCCCTCCGGCAAAACCCTATGTGGGACAAAATCTCGGAGGGTAAAAAGCTACACCCGTTTGGCGTCTGCCGCCCCTTCCCTCTCTGCCCTTGCTTCGCGTCATCTCAGGGTTGTCGGTGTTGCTCTTTCTCGAATGGGTTTTTCCATGCTTCGTCTAGTTCGATCTTCTGTCCGTGCGATTTCGCGAACCTCCCTGTCTGGGCTATGTACCTGAATAGATGCGGCAGTGCGTGTGGGCTCGTGAGGAGGTAGGTTGGTTCTCTCGCCTTTCGCCCTAGTTCTCTTTGCAGTTCTCCTCGCTGTTCGTCGTAGGTTGGGCAGTATAGTAAATAGTGTAGAACCGACTCCTCTTCGCATTTGCAGGTTGGGCAGATCGGGGATTCGATGACTTGTATTCGGTGTAGGTGTTTGTGTAAGGGAACGTGGCCCGTTCGTAGTTGTACGAGTAGCGAGAGGTTTTGACGCGGGAGACTGGTGGCCAGCTTGTAAAAGCGCGATGCTTTGAACTTCGGATCGGTGCGTTTGAGTCTTGTGAGGTGTTTCGAGTTGCGATAGTGCGTGTCGAGTTTCTCTGCGATCGTCTTCTTGAAGGTCTTCGTCGCCGCTGTTTTGCTGTACGGTAGTGTCTTTCTGAGGAGTATCGGGAGGTCTCTCACCGCGCTGGACGTCCCGCGAGCTGCTTCCTTCGCCTTGCCGTCTACATATTCATTTCCCTCCACGCCGACGTGTCCTGGCGTCCATCTCATCGTAATTCCTGTATCCCCGCCCCTCCTTGCTCCGATTTGGTCCATCTTTTTGAGGATAGCGTCTACGAGGTAGTGTCCAGGTCTGGGTCTCTGGTTCTGTGTTGCTTGGATTGTGCCGGTGTTGTCGGGCGCGATGGTGGCCCGGTCGTATCTTCGGAGTTTTGTGGCCAGCAGGTGCGTCGCTAGGAGCTCTCCGACGAGTTCCGCTTCTGGGATGCCGTAGTGTTCAGATCTGCCTAGGTGGTACTGTAGTGTCTCACCGGGTTTTCCTCGCCTGTATACCGTTGCCGCCGCCCCCACTTTGTTGTCGATTTCGGATCCATCTGTGTATACGATTATGTCCGCATCGTCCGCTGAGTCCGCCGCTTTTGCTTCGTCCTTGCTCTTCGCGATTTTGATCTCGAAGGGGGGCGTGTATCGTATACCGCGCCGCACGGCCTGAATCTTCTCATAGTGTTGAGGGCGGATGTCGTAGGCTTCGAGGAGTTCGTGTATGGGCGTCCGGTGGCGCTTCACGTATCTTGTCGCTCGTTTCACGTGTTTCGTCAGTGGGTGGGATGTTGGCAGTGTCGCAAGTCGCATGGCGCTTCTGTGTAAGTGTTGGTGGACCAGGATGTCGAAGGGTAGTAAATCTGCGAAGGCGTTGACTATGTCAGTGGGCGTGGTTCTCATGGCGCCTGTAATTCCCAGCGCTGCTTGTCGTTGTATTGAGGCGAGTCGGCTGATGAATTTCTGTGTCCCCTTTCGTCGTCTATCTGGTGGTGTTAGCCATACTTCCGCTGCGTATAGCATCCTGGGGACAGCAACAGAGAGGTAGAAACGTCGCATGCATTTATACCTCGCTCCCTTCGCATTGCGTGCAATCCGATTGAATTGTTGCATGTAGTCTTGCCCTCTTGCTAGGGCCCTGGCGGCGTGTTCGTGGAAGCGCAGTTCGTCGTCGATTATGAGGCCCAACCATCTCGCGGACGTCGACGCCTTGACGATCGTGCCATTGATGCTGATATCGGGTCTAGGTATCGGTCTCGTCTTCTTGTTACCTTCTGGGTCTGGTTCTCTTCGCCTGGTGAACCCCATGTATACGGTTTTCTCCAGGCCGAACTTGCAGTTTGTTTCCGCGCTCCAGTCTAAGGCCCCGTTAATCCGTACCATAATCGATTCTGCCTTACCCGCGGACTCCTCTAGAGTGTCCCCTGTTGCTATGATACCGAGGTCGTCTGCGAAGCCGATGCCGTCCTCGTCGTCCTCGCGGTCTGGTCCCTGTCTCAATAAGTCGTCGATGTAGAATATCATACCTATAGTTGAAAATGGGTCCCCTTGATCCAGGCCGTCGTCAATGTGAATTGTCTCTGAGTTGTAGTCGTCGAATTGGAGCGTGGTCGTGCGTCCCTTGAACCGCATCTTGATCCATTCCGTGTATTCAGGTGGTACTCCTTTCGAACGCATGATGTGGACGAGTTTCGATACTATAATGTGCGGGAAGGCAGCTTTGATGTCGAGCAAGAGCAGAGAGGCGCACTTTCCTTTGCGCCAGGCATTCTTGATGAGCGTGACAGCGTATTGCATTGCATCGGTCGTGGATCTACCCGGTCGAAATCCGAATTGAGTTGATGCTAGCAGTGCGTGGGTTTCGACCTGATGGATGAGGTCCTCGGAGAGGCATTTCGAGTATACCATGGCGAACTTCTTGATGAGGGAGATGGGGCGATGACTTCCGGGTTTGGTGTAGTCGCCTTTGCCTGGTTTGCGTAGCACAATAGTCGATATGTAGGACCACTTCTCCGGCCAGTACTTCAGTTCGTTGACTGCCCTGTATAGTACACCTAGTCGTGGGGCGAGGATGTCAGTGCATTGTGTCAGTATGGCGTTGGAGTACTCGTCTGAGTCCGGTGCTTTGTACGGCGCGAGGCGTTTGATGACGCTTTTGATCCGCTCGTCCGAAATGGGCTCGAATTTGAACATCGGTTCTGGATATTCCTGGTCGTCCTCGTCGACTTGGAGGTTCTCTGGAGGTATTGGGAAGAATTCTCTACAAAACATGTGAGTTTTGTCCCTGTTTGACTTAGCCTCTATGACGTCTCCGTTTTCGTCTTTGTCGCGTAGAGTTGGTACTCTCGATCTGCCGGCATCCGTCGATGGTGTCGAGATGTAATTTCCAGCTGTCCACATGTTGGATTCGTCGATTTCTTCGAGGAAGGTCGTCCAGCATTCCTGTTTGGCTTTCTGGATCGTCTGGGAGTATTTGTTTCGCGCTAGTCGGTATTCCTCGTGAGCGGGGTGATAAGTATTTGAGCGATGTCGAAACGCCTTTCGGCCACTACACCGCATATTCTTTCGCAAGCGGTCAAGGGTTGGGCTCCACCATCTCTTCGAGTACACCTTGTGATGCTTGCTGATCGGTACGTGCTTCTCAATTGCGTCTGATATTGCCTTATCCATGGTCTGGAGAACTTCGTCAAATTCCTCCTTGGAGCGTACGTCTTCTGGGTATGGTTTGTCATCCAGTGCGGTCTTGAGCGTCTCTCGGAACTCGTCCCATATTGTATCGTGGTATCTTCGGCGGGGTCTAATCGCGCTGGTTCCGAAGTCGTAGTCGATCTCGGTAAGTATTGGGAGGTGGTCCGTTTTCGGTGGTCGGTCTCCTGCTACGACTATGCATCGCGTGCATTTCGTCACTATTTCATCTGTGACGAAGACGTTGTCAGGGCGCGTGTAGTTCTTTGTGACGGTAGAACATAGCGTTGGTTCCCCTGCCGGCAGGATCATCTTGAGGTTATGCTTGGCGAGCATGTCTATCAGCGTCTGCACCATGCGGTTGTTCCGGGATGTAAAGAGGTGAGCGTTCCGTTCTTCGTCCCACAGGGGTGAATGTCGGTTGAAGTCCCCTCCCCAGAGGAAGTGTATTGGGCGTCCAGGATTCGTCGTTTCTTGTCGGGTTCATTCCTCGCTTGTAATCCTGTCAACTAGATGGAGTACGTCAGAGTGCTGCTGGTCAATGTAGACGTTGAACACGATGAGGTCTCCCCGTTCATCAGTTAGTCGTATCGCGGTTGCGTCTGGCGTCTCGATGTCGATCTGCTCCCATTTGTCTTGAGGTAAGGATCTGTGTACGACTGTATAAACTCTGGTGTCTCGCGGTTTCCGTTTGTGCGTTGTCGGGTATACTGGGATCCACGTATGGTTCGCCCTAGAGTTTCCGAGGAAGTCGACGTAAGGTTCTTGCGCTAGGCCGATCGTGATCTTTCTCTTTCCCATGGTGTATAGCCAGTCCTGTTGAGCGTCGTTAGATTTACATAGGTTCTGTTGCCAAAATGAAATCCCCCGTCTTATAGGTTGTTCGTCGTTCTGATTCATGTCGATATTCCCCAGTCTTCCGGTCGTGGTTCCCTCGCTGCGGCCTCTTCGAATTGGCGGTGTTCTTCGTCCGTAAGCGGTATAACGTTCCAGGGTGGCGGAGTTGCTGTGGCGGTCGCAGCTGGGTTCTGGCTCCCTTGTTGCATTGGCCGAAAGTCGTAATCGTCGAGTCTGGATTGCGTTCGTGGGGGTTGTGATCGTCCCGGTTCCGCGCCTTGCGAACCCATCGTTGTACGGCCTGTTCTTGTGAGGTGAGCGGTCGGATTGTTATGTTCCTGCGTCTGGTTTCTCGTCCATTGTCGGTCCCATCCTTTGTCCGGAGTTGGTGCTTGGAAGCGGTGTTGCGTGTTGCCGGTTTTCTGCCCTTGGTACCCCTCGTTTCTGTAGTTGTCAGTCTCCCATGTGGAAGGGTCGTCAGTAACGAAGTACTTGTAGTTGTTCTCTGGGTACTTCTCTTGATACTCGCGATTCTTCCTTATGAACGTGGGGCAGGCTCGACTCCAGGCAGCGTGCCCTTTCTCTTTGCAGTTGGCGCAGAAGTGATTGTTGGTATCTTCGGCGTTCGGGCATTCGGTGGTCTTGTGTTCGTTGCTTCCGCAGGTCCCGCAGGTCTCCTTCTCCTCTCGGCAGCTCGCTCCCATGTGTAGCCCCACTCGCTGGCACTTATGGCACCTTATCAGCTCCTTCATCATTCGGCGTCCGACGCACTTTTTCCCTTTAACGTCGAATCCCCATCGAATGGCGTAGTTTGCTGTTTTCTCGGTTCGGAGTACGATAGAGAGATGCGCGTACTGTTGTCCTTCGTATCGGCGGGCGGGGGCCTTGATCCACCGGGCTCTGAGGATGTCACCTTCGTCCATTCCGTTTATGCGTTCCACTCGGGTGATTTCGATCGGATCTTCGGGGTTGAATCGTACTGGGGCACTCTCCACGAGTATAGGGTATCCTCTAGTTTTGATCGTGGCGTTATCTCCGAAGTTCTCAACGAATGAGGCCTTCACCTTTGTGATCCGTAGCCATATTGCCGACGCCACGCTGTTGACTTCGAACTCGATGCCGCCGTTTCGTAGCTTCCTGACCGAGCGGAAGGAGATGTGTTCTGGGCGTCCAGTGAGATCGTTCGGCATCAATTCGAGGGTCGCATTTGCTTTCGCTACGAGCTGTTCTTCGTCCATCGCTTTCGTGTTTTCGCCTTGTACGTCGATGATGATCTTCTTCATTTGTTGTGCGTTGCGGTCGAGGACGGCTTGGTGTGTGAGCTGTGTGTGTTGAGGTGAGCGTACCGCGTTAGCATACGAGTTCGGTTTGTATTGCGAGACGTAGTCTGGTTCCGATGTCCGCGTCGTTGTCTGAGTGTATCCTCCGCCTGGTTGTGTGTGTTCGGCAATGGGGAGCTTGTGTCTCTCTTGTAGTGTAATGGCGATTTCGTCCAGGGTTTCGGAGTGGTCGAAGACGCGGTCTATCTGTTCTGTTAGGTTCTCGTCGATAGTGTCGAGGACTTTCGTGAGGCGTTGTTTTACTGTCTCTGTCACTCTCTCTATAACTGCGAATTCCGTAAGTGATTCCAATATGAACGCTGTCCCGCCCCTAAAGTGAATAGGTGCGGAACTGCTCGAAAACCTCCATTTTTTTATTCATTCTGCAGCCTCTCTGTTATGTAGTAGTATAGAATCTAAGTAGAATAGACCAAGCATGTACCTTAAATGGGCCCAGGAAAGTTTGACCATATTAGGAAAGGGATTACTAAGCGGTGCCCAATCTTAGTCAGCACATGACAAATCATGACTCGGCTGAGTCAGAAGCTGACTCAGCACTGCTAGGATTACTAATATGACTCAGAAAGCTGGCCTAGCTAAGGAGTATAAAATGTAGCCGAATCGGCATGAATGAGAAATCAATCAGTTCCCCCCCCGAAAGTACTCAGCAGTCGTCTGCTAAACTCTCTCTCTGTCAGGACTCGAGTGCCTGGACAGCTTCCCTATCGACTCTATATCGACCCTATCGACTCTACACAGCCACCGTAGGCTGTTCGAAACC